AGGAAGGGGGCCCAAGCCTGAGATTCAAGGTTCAAGGTTCATTTTATTTATATGCCGCCCTATTCCCTGCGGGACTCAGGGCGGCGCACAAACCCAAGGGAGGGGAAGGGAAACACAAAGAACTACAACAAAAAAAATACAAGAGAATTTATAACAACCAACAGCCACACGATTCGAGAGGGGAAGGGAACTCATCGACCCCAGGCCTGCCGACACAGCCAGGTTTTAACGGCTTTTCGGAAGGCCTGGAGAGAGGTGAGGGTCCGAATCTCTGCGGGGAGCTCGTTCCAAAGGGCCGGAGCCGCCACAGAGAAGGCCCTCCCCCGGGTAGTAGCCAGATGACATTGGCCGGTAGACGGAACCCGGAGGAGGCCTAGTCTGTGTGATCTAATGCAGTGTTTCTCAACCTTGGCGACTTTAAGTCCCGTGGACTTCAACCCCCAGCCAGCAGAGCTGGCTGGGGGATTCTGGGAGTTGAAGTCCACGGGACTTAAAGTCGCCAAGGTTGAGAAACACTGATCTAATGGGTCTTTGGGTGGTAATTGGCAGCAGGCGGTCTCTCAAGTACCCAGGTCCAATACCATGAAGGGCTTTATAAGTGACGACTGAGGGAATAAGGAAATAGGCTAGAGGTTTCAGTGGGCCTAGGCTGAGAGGGGGAAAAGGGAATATTATAGCAGAGGCTGTGGAAGGAGAGCTCAGCAGGAAGTTCAAGAGAAAGCGAAGATAGAGGAAGAGGAAGAAGCTCCAACCAGCCACCTAAATGCCGACCTATCTGTGACCTGCATGCTGAGAGGAGGCTGACCACCACCCAATCACGGGACCCTGGCAAGTAGAGGTGCATCAGAGAGGGGCCAAGTTGGACTGGCAGCCATACGGAGAGGGCCAGGAGAACCCAGACTACAGTGGCCCTTGCGCGAGGGTTAGCGCTATATTTATTTAGCTCCATGGTGATATACATCCACTTTTGAAGAAAAAAAACAAGTGTCATTTCCTGCCAATGAGTTTCCCCCTTCTAAAGTTCAGCTCTTCAGAATTAACACTTGACTTACCCTGATTGCAACAGCGAAGGGATATATTTTGCTTCTTCAATTTGCCTTTTTTTTTTAGCAGCTTTATGCTCCTTCTAGATACACACGTGTTCCCCCAGCCACCCACTCCATTCCAACAAATGTTGTAGTCATACCCATCAAGTAAGAGTTATAGCTCATAAAACTGAAATATATTCCCGTTTATGTGGAAGTGCACAGCAGCTATAACCATCCGAAAGAATCATTATCACAGCTGCCAGGGGAAAGGGGAAATACTGAAGGAAAATAGAACAACAAATTTGGGAGTGTGTCATGTGCCTGACCAAGTAAATGAGACAGGATTTTAATAATACTTATGCAAATTGGACTACCAGATCTTGGCTGCAAAACCTCAGACTACCACCAGGAGGCATTATTGATGGGTCTCTTGGCTGCCATCTGAAGGTCATCCAGAATTTTGCCACTCAGATCTGCTAGTCCTAGTCCTAAAAAAGTGGGAGGTGGAAGCAGGGGAAAGATCCCTTATGACTCCAGAAATCTCAAAAATGGCCCAGCATTAGCACCAGTTTTATAATTTGCTTGTTAGTGTAGTACATAAACATGAATCCAGAAGATGATTTAAATCTCTGATGGAGAAGAAAATTTTGCTTCATTGAGCAAAATCCATGCCCATCCACTCTTCCACAAAAGAGAATTTCTAGTCTTTCAAAAGTTTGTCCTCTTCAAATCTGCCAGCATGGGAACAAACACAGAAGAGGCAAAACTTGCTATTCCACCAATTTTATCAAAAAATCCCTACACAGCAGAGAATGAAAAATGTTTGCTCGTACAGTGCTCCCATATAACCTTACTTCACATACAAAAAGTCTGTACATAAAAATCCACATGATCCTTATGGGAAGGAGCTGCACACCTGGCCGGCTACCTTTCCTTCTCAAAGATCTGGAGTTGGGAAAAAAAATGGGCAGGCGGGAATGCCTCCCAATTGTTGGTAGTCCTCCATCAATGGCAAGAACAGAGGGCCAAGAATGGAGATGTTTTTCTATTGTGATTCTCATATATCTACACTATTGATTCATTTAATAAGATGAGTTTTGTTTTGTTTTCATTTTGGCAGCTTTAAGATGAGTGCACTTCAATTCCCATAATTTTTCAGCCAGCCTGGCTGGGGAATTTTGGGAGCTGAAATCCATTCATCTAAAAATGTTTGAAAAACACTGCTGTAGGGTGAAGACGACATCAAATGGAATGAGGCTTATCATTATCCAAGTTAAAAAGGATCACAGCAATTCTATAATGCTGTGGGAACCATAATAGAATAACAAGAGTTGGAAGGGACCTTGGAGATCATGTAGGTCCGCCTGCTCAAGCAGGAAACTAAATTTCAGGCAAATGGTGTCGAGTTTCTTCTTACAAACCTCCAGTAACTGGAGGCAAGTCATTCCACTGCTTGTTCTGTTAGGAAATTATTCTTTAGTTATAGGTTGGTTCTCTCCTTGATTAGTTTCCATCCATGGCTTCTGCCTTCAGGTGCTTTGGAGAATAGCTTGACTCCCTCTTCTTTGTGGCAATCCCTTAAATATTGGAATGCTGCTATCATGTCACCCTAGTTCTGCCTTTCAATAAACTAGACATACTCAATTCCAGCAATTGCTCTTTATATTTTTAGCCTCCAGTCCCATTTATGTTGTTTTAAGATTTATTTAAGATTTATGAATATTTTTTATAATTAGCAGTTTTATTTTTTATAAATCATGTAGCTGCATGATGGTCTAAGAATCTAGTAAATAAATAGTTCTGTAAGCTTGGTATTTCAAAAATAATGTGAAAAGTTAGAGAGGTGAAAAGACTTTTATTGAAGTTTTAAACAGCTAAGCCAAAAATAAATCAGCTCAGCTCTCTAATAACAATCCAATATTGGAGGATCATAGAAATCTGCAGCTATCAAACTGGTGTAAAAATCCATTTTTTTGAAGTGCCCCTTAAGTCAGAAAAAAAGCCTATTTCTATTGTAGCTATTCAGCCTCCTGGTGTCCAAATGTACCGTTCCCCTCCTCCCGAAATGATAGAAATAATATTGACACATTCCATTGTAACATTGCTGCTTTATTTTGTACACATACATTGATTTGCATATTTCAAAAAAATAATAAAAACATTGTAGTTGCGGGTAATTGAGACAAGACGGAAGCTTATATTTCTGCCTACGCTGCATGATGTTATAAGTATTTTTATTTTTAAAATGCAAAATAGAATGGTAAATGCAGTAGAAACACATACAAATAACTTCTATTGCTGACTTAATGGAAAAAGACTGATGTTTTATGAAATATGAAGTTGAAAAGCAATATTATCGAATACCAAGTGCTTGGAACATTCAAAAAAAAAAATACTCGATTAGCAACCATAAAGAAGCCAAAAGTTATGTATTTAATACTTTGCAAAGCATGTATTTTTCTACTATGCTTTTAAAAAACAAACAAACAGAGGACGTCTTACAGACACTTAAAAAAAACTGTTAATTTTCTTTAAAAAAATTCAAAATGTAAAGAAAAACAATTGCGCTATATTTCTGTAAAACACTCTTATTTGCTAAGAAACTTGAAGGCAAGTACTTTTAACTCTTACTTAAATGTTGCCCCATTGCAGTTATCTTTCAGCCTGGTGCAATCACAAATATGTGGCTTTCCATTTCCCCAAATCAAAGTATTTCTTGTAACCTCCCCAATGTATTTTGTTGACTTTTGGAAAAAGAATTTTAAAAAAAGAGAACTGCCCTTTTAAAGTAAAGTTACTGCAAGCCCCAACAGCTCCTGCATAAATCATTTCGCAGGACTTGGTTGGATTTCTAGTGCAGATTTACAGGCAGACATGAATCCATTACTATACAGTTAATTTCTCCCCGAGCAACCATAGAGAATAAACACTCCATGGTAGTGCAAAGGAAACCACCCACCTAGTGCTGTGCAGTCCCCCATTCATCCCAATGGAAAATGCAAGCAGCCAATGGCTCTACTGTAAACATCTAACTTTCCCACCCCACAAAATACATATTCATAATGGAAAACAGCAAGTATATTTGGTAAGAGCAAAGGTGTTTCTTTGCATGACAAAAAGAGGAACCCAATATTTTTAAGGCACTAAAATGGAGGAACTTTTTTTTAAGGCCAAATAAAATCCGTACATCAAAAATGCTCTGAATTCTTCTTTTCTGCCAGCAAAGTTTCTGTTTTAGCTGTGTAGTTTTCTTCTGAATCTGATTGGCTGATGGTGGCTGTCGGCATGTGTTTCTAAAGTTAGTGGTCTGGATAGAGGGTAGCCAGGGTGAGAAAGACGAAGAATGGGAAACCTAACTGCAAGCTAGCAATAGCACTTAGACTTATATACTGCTTTACAGTGCTTTACAGCCCCCTCTAAGCTGTTTAGAGTCAGCATATTTGCCCCCAACAATCTGGGTCCTTGTTTTACCCACCTCGGAAGGATGGAAGGCTGAGTCAACCTTGAGCCTGGTGAGATTTGAACTGCCAAACTGCAGCCGGTGATCAGCAGAGGTAGCTTGCAGTACTGCACTCTAACCACTGCGCCACCTCGGTTCATTGCTCAAGTGATCTAATTTAAGGAAAATGTTAGGAAATGGATTTTTATGAGAATTCAGGTACTCCTCGATATACGACCACAATCGAGCTCAAAATTTCTGTTGGTACAAGAGAGATTTGTTAAGTGAGCTATGCCTCAGTTTACACTTTTCTTTCCACCTTTGTTAAGTGAATGATTGCAGTGTAAATAACATGTTTGTTAAGGGAATCTGGCTTCCCCCTTGACTCTGCTCATCAGAAGGCATCAAAAGCTGATCACCTCATCCCGCGACACTGCAGCCGTCATAATTGTGAGTCAGTCGCCAAGCATCTGAATTCTGATCACATGCTCACGGGGATGCTGCAATGGTTGTTAAGAGGTGAAAATTGTTGTTAAATCACTTTTTCCAGGGCTGTTGTTATAACTTTCAACGGTCACTAAATGAACTGTTGTAAGTCGAGGACAACCTGCATCCTGGAGTCTCCCCATCAAGGATAGTATATACCCTCTCTCTCTCTCTCTGCTCCCCCCCCCCCTCGACAGGCATCTGCAATTCCAACCAACACCACCTTTAATAGCTCCTCATGCCTCGGAATATGACAAACTATACTGGCAAAGATACATGCATGGGAATAGCCAAAGATGTTTGGGGCAGAAGCATTTATGAGCCATCCCAAGCTCTGCATACAACAAATTATCATTTGGCTATTATGTGCAATAAGCTCAGGATGGAGAGAGGAAAAGAATTGTTGTGTGGCAAGCACAGAGCATAAATCTAGGCTAAAAACAAGGTAACTGAGAAGGCAGGAGAGAAAAAGAGGATGAATTAGTCCGAGACGGCAGGCAGAGGACAGAGACAGAAGAAAGGAAAAAATCAGAGCAAAAGAGAGAAAAGCATGACCCCTTCTTCTCTTTCCACTTCCCTTCTTTTGGACACCACTGCCTTGATTCTCCTTACTGCCAGCCACGGTCTACCCCTGGATGAATATCAGCCGTGCAGAATACACCAGATCTGCCAGGTATATCAGCAGATTGATAGCAGTTAGAACTGCTACGGCAACATTCTTGTCCCATATACAGAAGTCGTCACGACTACCACAGTTTCGAGATGGAACCCCCCCATGTTTTCGGTCAAACTTGTAGAGAGGCCAAATGATTGTGGCGGTGGCATACATGAGCACAGCCAATAAAGTGTAGCCGCTGAGGAATTTGTTGAATGGACACGGCAACCAGCCAGTGCATTCGCCAATGCAGAGGATGATCACCACAAGGGAGAGGATGAAGCAAATGCAGTAGACCGCCATACACCACTTAAGAGCGTCTGGGTGGTCATAAGTAGGTGGGTCGCTTATGAAGACAAAGATGATGCAGGCAGTAAAAGTCTCCACCACCTTCAGCAGCCCTGGGACTGTTGCCATGTAGCCAGTCACTTCTCCTGGCTTAGCTTTGGTTAAGCTGACCTCACTGAGGTAAGACAGGCAGGCTAGGCAAGAAAACACAGTGGCGGCAACGCGATATCCCCGCTCATCGCTACTAAGACTCCGTTTCGAAATGAAGAAGACCGGGTAAATGATGGAAGCCGAGAGACACATTAGGGTGGCATACATGGCGAACGTGATGGGGAAGTTCTTCCAAGAGACCGGCATGCGATGCTGAAGGCCAGCAAACTCGACCACCAAGATGACGATGGTGATGGCAAAGCAGAAGCACCAGGAGAACATGCACCAGTCCCCATTGCGGTGGTCCCAGGCGTTCCGGCTGGCCACCAAGCTGAAGGCCACACAGGTGAAAATGGCTTCCAGGAGGCGAACAATTCCCAAGGGAGAGGTCAGGGCACTGGTGTTGCCCACCGATTTTGAGCGGGTTACTGGCATGGTGCAAAGATCTAGGGAGGAGAAGAAAGACACATGATGCAAAACTTTTATCACGTGAAAATATACAATTTAGGATACATTTCCTAAATTTAGGGCTAAGGAATATAGAAACACGGGGCAGATGGAGAAGACCGGGCTGAGCCCAAGGGAGGGGTCAGATGTGTCATTAGTTATGAGTCCCTGCACGCCCACACGAGATCAAAGTCCAGCCCAGCCTATTGTGAATGCCTCCCTTATCACCCACTCATTTCCCTTAACTGCCAGTGGGTCAGATTCCCGTAGAGAGCTTAATCTTGCGATAAGTCTTTATACTCATTTGTACTGCCTGACTCTCTTGATTTTCCCCAGCCTTCTGCAACCCTGCAGCTTCTAGGTAGGTTGGATTTCCTGTCTTATCATTCCCAATCAGAATTCCATTCTTCTCTTCCTAGTAATAATCCAAATTAACTGCAGGACTACAAGTTGAGGAAGACTAATTTTAGTGCCATTGTCTCCTGAACCTGCCTGAATAGTGTAGAAGGGATGGGAGAGATTTATCACTCCACGTATTGTCGGACAAGATCCGGCAGCAGTCCCAGTCGGGATGGATTATATAGTCCTCGACTTAAGACCATAATTGAGCCCAGAATTATGATCACATTGTGCCAGTTGTTAAGTGGGTCAGCATGTGGCCACACTCAATTTTATAGACAGGTTTTGCAGCGATCATTAAGGGAACGTCATTTTTGTTAGGCAAATCCATTGTCCAAAACCAGAAGTAACCACTTTCTGGCAAAAAAACATCTAAATCCTGGTCACTTGACCATGGGATCCTGCAAACACAACCAAAATGTGATCATCATGTGACAGGCGAAGGCCATCAAAACTTTGAATCAGGGTCATAAGTAGCCCTGAGAAGTCCATTATATCTTCAAATAGTTGCTAAGTGAACGGTCATAAGTTGAGAACTATCTACATATAAATTCTAGTCCCATGTCTGGAAAATTACAGAATCATAGGGCTGGAAGGGGCCTTCAAGCTTTTCTAATCTAAACCCCTACCCACAGCACACAGTATTATATCCCGAAAAATGGCTGTCCAATTCTACCTTGAAGACTTCCAACAATGGACCATCTACAGTTCCAGGAGGCAAGCTATTGATTGATTGTTGGCACTACCAGGAAATTTCTCCTTAATTCCAGATAGGATCTCTCTAACAAGCTTCTACCCACTGCTTCTTGTCCGGCCCTCAGGTGATTTGGAGAATAAGTCAACCCCCTCCTGCATGTGACTGCCCCTCAGGTATCAGAAGACAGCTATCATGTTACCCTCTAAACTTTCTTTTTCTTAATTGGACACACCTAGTTCCCTTAACCTTGCCTCAAACAGCTTAGCCTCCAGAGCCGAGATGGGCAACTTTGGCAACTTTAGGACTTGTGGATTTCAACTCCCAGAATTCCTTAGTCAGCCATTAAAGTACACAGATCATAAAGTTGCCACACTGGCCCACCTCTGTGCCAGAGACTCTAAAAGCTCACAAACCAGATGTCTACAGGTAATCTATCAATATTTGCGTATGGGCAACATGGACGATAGCATAACCCATGATAGCAACTGTTGGACATCAAAATCTACAAGAGGAAAAAAAGAAGGTAGTAAATATAGCTAAACATAGACAATTTAATTTTTATCAGTCTATTCTGAGGTTTATAATTAATTTATGTTACTTACGTGTGCTATTCCTATGGGATTGGATTCATAACTACAATTCTCCAGATAAAACGTCTTATTATCTTGATTTACAGTACTTTTTTCATATTTGGCATAACTAAATAAATGTAGGTAAACATTCTCAACAAAAAAAAAGGTTCTCAATAGAAGATATAGAATTGTCCCAACTTGTAACTCCTTTGATAAACTTTAGTTAATTTAAACATTGCTCCAGCCTGACAGATGACACTTGGACGAAAATTGATTAAGCTCACCTCTTTGTAGAAAAATGGAATTTTCTCAAGATAAGAGAAATCTTTTATGTCAATGCTTCACTTCGATGCCAGACAATTTCATCTCATGAAAATGCACACTGCACCTAGGAAAGGATCTGAATATCTAAGATCACCCACCCCGAAGGGCTCCTCCTTGGGTCTCACACATCCATAGGGCAAGGGCACCTTATTTTACACATCTAATAGCCTGTACATCAACTTCACACCAGAGCCCCTTGTCACTGTATGTCCTATCACACTCAGCTTTCCGTGGCCAAGAATGGCCGAATATTCGTTTTGCTGCCTGACTCTTGGAAGAAAATTCTTCCTCTATTTCGGGTAAATGTCCTGTGTTTTTTATTGGGTAACCGAGCTTGGAATCAGGCCAAGAAAATTCTTCTAATGGGTTTAAAATAGGTACAAACTAATAATGAAGTCCAAAGTAAAGCTGTTTCCTTTTGTAAATGGAGATAAATCTTCCTGGTTTACACAGCACATATTATGAACTGGCTATGAATAATGGAAACCGAAGTCCGAAAGATCCAGAGGTTGGAAAAGGTTGGGTAGCATAGTGTCCACCCAAAGCTAATATTGCCCTTTCCTGTCTGGGTTGTGACAAAGTAAGACGCAATGGGAGAACAGACAAGAATTTCTGGGGGCTAGAAAGTTACCCCCATCTGTTTGTGTCTCACAATTACATTACAGACAACAGCAATTGCTGTTTTTTTTAACCCAAAATTGGAAAACGCTTACTTCCTGAAGAAGTTGAAAGGGCAAGACAAGCATAAAGAGCTGAGAAAGGGTGGAGACTTGAGTAGGGGAGGGGTAGGAGGAAAACCATGTTACCCATGTAAGGGCAGGAGAAAATTCCTTTTTGTCCAATGTTGGACATTTGGTTTTAATCAAGCTCTTCCCCTGAGCTGAGGAAGGGAGGGGGAGTGCGGTGGGGGCGGGTGGAAGGGGGAGTCAGAGAAATCCCAGGCGTTAAGCCAGCTTCACTGTCTCCTTTCTGAGCCATCTCCCAAAAATGCAGCCCACCCTTTCCTTTTCCCCTCCTGCAAATCCAGAAGGAAGGATTTCCTTTCCTGTCAGCTCCCAAGTGAGAAATGTCTCCTTTCACTCGGCTGCAAGGGAAGCTAGAATCTTTGGTAGGTTAGCTTTGTCCTGCCTTTCAGCCGCTCCCGGTGTTTGGAGAGAAGAAAAGGAAAAAGAGGGAAAAAAGAGAGAGAAAGAGAGATGTTTGAAAGTAAATCTAAGCTGCCTCAAGAAAAGGAGAGCAGAAAAACCACTTCGAACCATTTTAAAATGGGTTTTAAAATTTTTAATGGCTTATATTGCCTGTTGGCACTCACTACATGGAAACTGCAACTGCAGAGGATATTTTGCAAGACGCCGCAGGATTTAGTTTTCACTAAAGTGTTGTCCCATGTTACCCAGGCACATACAGCCACGCTGGTTCTTTGGGGCCTACAAGGGGGAAATGGGTGACTGAACAGCCTATTTTGCAAAGCTTTCCTCCCAGGCTAACCTGCGTCTACCGTTTTGCACAGAGTCAAATCAAGAGGAAGAAACTGTTAGGACGACGTCATTTTTCATGTAGCAGAAAAACAATTGCCTCCAGGAATCCTGCTATCTTTTCCCTATCTTTGCAGGGAGAAAATGAGCGCTTCAGAGGGTAGAATTTATCAATGTTCTTCAACGGGCTGTTTCTAACTATGCCAAGAGCTTTCTAGATGAGATAAACTTCAGGCTTGTAACCTTTGATCTGCAGCCTGAAATGGAACCATCTAGATAAATAGACTGCTTTCCATTTTGACTATGCTGTGCATTTGAATCGATTCATAACCTCAATGTTTTTTCCAAGCACACTAACCCATACCAAGGGTAAAACTTTAAACAAATCCCTCTCTCCACTCCTTTTCATGTAAGATGCTTTTAAAATTATTGTTTGTATCCCACCCTTCTAATGCTGGTGTATGACTATAATAAAGATTTAATTTAATTTGATGCTGAAGATAGAACAAAAACAAAATTCTACATGCGATTTTACTGCATTCGTTCTCTCACCCTGCAAAGTACATTAAAAAATGCACATACATTTGATGAAGGGACCTGCAAAAGTCCAAGTTCATCAGTGACTTTAAAGCTGCCTCAGAACATCATAACAGGAGCAGAATTTAAAGGAAAATATAAGCATTATCTAAACAATAATGGATAAATAACTAATCAAGGAACATCCCCACGTAATCTTATAAACAGTCTGGATAAAAGAGAGAAAAGGAGACTGAAATGTGCATTTACCAGAAGTAATGCTGAGAGTTACTGAGAAAATATTCAGTCATCGTGCATTGGTGCAAAAAGACGTTGAGCGAAGAAGTGGCAACGCCCAGGGTGTAGAACTATTTCTTACACACTGCAGGATACAATTGAAGCTTTGTTTCAAGCACAGAAAAATCGAGAGGCAGGATCTTAGAAGAGCTGGTTCCTCTTCCGTGTTCCCTAAAAAAAACCCAGGACCCTGCCCACAAAAGCAGAAGACGTGGAAAAGAGCAGAACTCACTGGATAAAATTAGAGTTGAGAAGTAATGCTACGTGTCATGGCAAGGCATCGAATGAGTAAAGGTGATTCAAAGAACAGGTAGCCCTTGACTTACCACCATAATTGAGCCCAGAATTATAGTAGTAAGTCATGGTGTTCATTAGCAAGTCACCATGTGGCCACACCCAATCCTACTATCTTTTTTGCAGCAATCCTTAAACAGCCATTGTTAGGCGAATAGTCTGAGTTAAACTCATTATACCCAATAAATGCTGGTTTCCTGCAAAAAACTGCCAAAAATTGTAGAACACAGAAGACATAGATGCCACCAGTTGTCATGTGCCCAACATATGATCAACTGATTACAAGGTGGGGGTGGAAGGTTGCTGTTGTAACTTTGAAAATGGGTCATAATCTGGGGAGTTCTGTAATAACTTTGAATGATCACTAAGTGACCGGTCATAAATTGAGAACTACCTGTATTTAAAAGCTAGGGAATCCTCAAACCTTGCGTCTCTCTAGATCAGTGTTTCTCAACCTTACCAACATGAAGGTATGTGCTGTAAAATTCTAGGAGTTCGCATATCTTAAAATTGTTTTAGATAATACCAAGGGGTCACTCCTTATTTTACGTGGACTGTTTCTTCGTAGATTAAACTAGAGAATATATTTTACAAATAAATACATATTAATAAATTTCAGTTGTAATAGCCAAGAAATAGCCTGATCTAATATTATTTATTGTCAAAGCCCAGGGGATCTCTTAACCCATCCTTAAAGAAACAGGATTTCTCGGTTTTCAAAGTATTGCATTAAATTTTGTTAAGGGGTATTTTTCTGTACATATGGCTGCATGAGGAGAATTAATGTTTTGGAAAATCTGTTGCAAAATCTATTAGTTTTGCACTATGGAAGGGAACAGAAATCCATTGTTGCTGGTGCATGTTTGTGTTCTCAACTTAAGACCACAACTGGGATCAGAATTTCAGTTGCTAGGCAAGGCAGCTCTTAATTGAGAGAATTACACCCGGTTTTACCTTTTTCGCCATGATTGTTAAATTAATCACTTTGCTTCTCAGAAACCAGCTGGGACGGTCACAAATGGGAATGACATGACTTCGAGACGCTGCAATCGTGGAAAATATATGCCGGTTGCCATGCTCCCCAATTCTGATCATGTGACTGTGGAGATGCTGTAACAATGCACAGCGATGTTGTAAGTGCAAGAACTAGTTGTCACTCTCTTTTTTAATGTCGTAATTCTGAATGGTTGCTAAACAAATGGTTGCAAGTCAAGGACTACCTATAGTGGTTAAGGCACCTGGCTAGAGACTAGGAGGCTGAGTTTTAGTCCCCCCCTTAGGAATGAAAGTTCGCTAGTTGACTTTGGGCCAATATCTATCTATCTATCTATCTATCTATCTATCTATCTATCTATCTATCTATCTATCTATCTATCTATCTATCTATCTATCTATCTATCTCCCTCTCTCTCTCCTCTCTCTCTCTCCCCCCCCCCCCCCCCCCCCCCCCCCCCCCCCCCCCCCCCACTTACCTCACAAGGTTGTCATTATGGAGAAAATAAAAGGAAGGGGTATCATGTATATTCACCATCTTGAGTTATTTTTAAAAATAATAAAGCTAGGAGTTTTTTTTAAGATTTTTTTTTTAAGCATCATTTTCTGCCAGGCTCAAATTCTGTGAGAACTTGATGGAGCTCCAGAAGAAATTAAAGAAGGAAAAAAGTTCATTCAATCACAATCTATGTCACAAAATCTTTGGTCTCTTGATTGAAGTGTTCCAGGGAAAAAATCTTAACAAACAGGTTCCACAGCCTGGAAATCTTTGAAACTTTCTGCCTTAGTGGACAACAGAAAGGTTACCAAACTGGGCTGCAAAACTCTGAAAAACCAATAGATGGTAGCAAAGAAATCTAGAAAACGTAATTATTGGCTGCCATCTAATGGTCCTTTGGATTTTTGCAGTCTAGATCTAATAGCATTAGTCCTGTAGTAATCATGTTGCAATAAGCAAGCAGGGAAGCTATAAATTTGAAAAAGAATCAATTGTTATACAGTTGAAGATGTTACTATATTATAAACAACTAACCACAGCATAGAGCAGGGAGGAAAATATTTACAGTACAGAGATATGTTTTCTGGAGTCTTGTCATAATACTACCAAAATAGGCTAAGGGTAATTAAGACAAAATATGCATTCTACAAAAATACGATGTTTTTAAAAAATAAACATAGTGGTTCTTACTATTAAGCATTTAATGAACTGGGAACATTCACAATGAAGTACATGATATAAAATTTTGGATGTCAGTCATATCACACTTACGACTCCCTTAGTAAAATACCTCTCTTCTCCTTACAGAAAAATGTATTCAACACTACAACATGTCTCTGTGTTGCTGATACAAATATATACTTTTTGACTCCATCGTGTCCCATCTACTGCACAATTATCCTCTGCTCTCGATTAAATACTGTCCAGATTGTGCTTTGAATTGTAACATGTATAGCACCCAGACAGCATTAGATGCGGCTTCAGTCTTGATGTGAGCCACACCTAGGATCTATTTATTACAACATCCTTGCCTCACCAGACTAGCTTTAGGACATATTGATCTTTTGTCCTGAGAAAATATTGCAGTGCAGTATTAATAGAGACACACCTCCCTTAATCAAAACTTTTGTAAGACCAAAATGAAGAAACTGCATTCTTTTGGGGGTGGAGGTAAGATGTCACACACCTTAAGTTTTTTCAGACAAAGGCCTTTTTAAAGGCACCCGTTATTTTCATCTACTGACCAACCACAAGGTTGCATGTTTTTCCCTGCTATTCCTTGGAAGTTATTTCAAGGCATACTGCCTTTAAATATGAAGGACCCTGTTTAGCTAATGCACTGAACAAAGGTTTTCACTGCCTGTAAAACTGCAAATTATGTAACAAAGGTGTAGTGGCACAATTTGAGATTTCAAAATCTTTTCACAGTCTGCTGTATGGAGAAGTCAGGCCTGGGATATCTTGAAATCTTCCCTACTTCTCTTTTCTTATAAACCAGGGGTGTCCAAGTTCGAAGACTTGTGGACTTCAACTCCCAGAAATCCCCTGAGATTAAAGTTGCCAAGGTTGAATACCTCTGCTGTAAACTTTGCTGCTCACTTGTTCCATTAAAACAGCCTGTTACACGCACTTCCCTACCACAAAAGGCACACCCTATTGCAAAAGCTACATTGGAAATGGATGCCGCCCTCTCCCCGGTTGTTTGTTTTTAGTTTTGTTTTTTTTAAGAGCATTACCTTTCTGGTTTTGGCTCCGGCTGCAAAATTAAACCAATTGGTGGTGGCGGGGTTCTTTTTTTCAAAAGGGAAAGTCCGGGGTGGGGCACCCTAACAAGGCAACCTCCATCAACTCACTAGACCCCTGCAAAGGGGGTCCCCCTACCCACTCAGTCCTGCAAAGAGGTCGCATTGGGGAGGCGGGGCAGCTCAGCAAATGCACCTCATTTCCCAAGAACACTAAGCAATCCCCCATTTCTAGCCTAAATATTCTCCCCCGGCCCAGTTTTGCTTTTAACTCTTTAAATTCCTTTTCCCTGCAGAAAGCAGCCATGCACGGAGGGCGGCTTCAAACTCTGGACGCCCCTCAATCTCCCCCCCCACCCCAACTTCAAGAGCCCCGCCCCGCGGCTGCCTGAACTGCTCCGAGCGTCTCCCCCAGCCCCGATTTTCTCCCGCAGCTCCTTCTTACGGCACTTCCAAGGCTTGGGGCGGGCGGAGAGTCTGCACCGACCGAGGCGATCTGGCGAAAGATGCTCCTCGTGGTGGCGAGAAGGCGAGAGCTCCTGGGTTGGGCTGGTCGAGACGGGAGGGAAGCTGGGTGTGGCGCTAAACGCCGGAGAAGAAGGGAGGCAGCCGCCGGGCAGGACGAGGGGGTGGGGAAAGGGTGGGCCGTGGGCGGATGGAAAGGAGAGCCGAGGGGGTCGGCAGGGACTCTGTTTGTGGCCGTTGCTGCTGGCGACAAGGAGCAATAACTGTGACGACAGTGGACCCCACCCCAAGTGCAGCTCGGCTGCAGCAGAGCGGTTTCCACGTGTCTCTCTCTAGGCGCTCCAAGGTTTCCCGCCAGTTCTGCGGCTGAACTTGAAAGAAGACCCCCGTCAGTCGCCCCGAGGAGCTCTTTGTCTCTCGGAGATGGAAAGCCACAGTCTACCAATGTGGATGGCTCGGAAAGAGCCCGCTGTTCACTTGGCTTCATAGTTTTCGATGGGCGGATGGGTGTGTTTATGTAAAACCCATCGCCGCATCTTGTAACAATGCGTTCCGTCGGCGGGCTGGGAGTACAGTTAAACTACAACTAGTTTGTTTAATGTCGGTTCGAAGTTACAAATGCAGTGAAAAAGCGACTTATGACCGTTTTTCACACTTGCGACCGTTGCAGCATTTCAGATCAAAATTTGGACACATATTTATAACTGTTACAGTCTCCAGGGGTCATGCGATCCCCTTTTGTGACCTTCTGACGAGCAAAGTCCATGGGGAAGCCAGATTCACTTAACAACCATGTTACAAATTTAACTGATTCACTTAACAAATGTGGCAAGAAAAGTCGTAAAATGGGACAAAACTCACTTAACAAATGTCTCGCTTAACAACAAAAATATTGGGCTCAATTGTGGTCGTAAGCTGAGGACCACCTGTAACCTAAGGACAATAATAAGCTTTCTGGACTCTCAGAAGATGGCCCCCAGGGGCAGTCAGGCTGCCCTCAAGGGCAGAAAGTGAGTTTGGTCCAGTCCTTAAGGCGCAGGCTTGAAACCAGGAAACTGAGTTCCAGTCCTACCTTACCCATGAAAACCACTTTGGACCAGTCACTCACTCTCAGCCCAGCTTGCCTCACAGGGTTGTTGTGACGAAAATAGGAGGAGGAAAGAGTAGTAGCTACGTTTGCCACCTTGAGTTGTTTATAAAAAAACAAAGTAGGGTACAGGCAGGAGTGGGCTGCTGGGTGTTTGCAAGGGTTCTGGGGAACCTCCAGCTAAGATTCTGTGCAGTTTGGAGACACCCCCCCCCAAAAAAAAACCCCATTCCTGGCTGGCCCCGCCTGCCCTGCCCCTCCCAGGAGTCCCCATGCGGCCCATTTTGGATGCAGGTAAATGCAGGGTGCGCGTGGAGACTCGGGGAGGGTGGAAAATGGGCCCACAGGAAGTTTGGGAAGGCCAGAAACCAGCCCATTTCCAGCCTCTGGAGCCTGGGGACACCATTTTAGACCTCCCAGAGGTTTGAGGAAAACTTCCAGAGCCGGGGGAGGGCAAAAACGCTCCCCCCCAGCTGCGATACTCCTTGCTAAAATGTTTGAAGCCCACCCCTAGATACAGGTAAATGTATTTATTTGTTTATTAAACTTGTATTCTGTCTTATCTTGCAGAGACAATTTGAGGCAGTTTACAGTCTTCCGGTCATAAAATAGCCAAGGTCCCCAGGAATTCCATAAACCATCTTTTTCTTTAAGCTAGCCAAGCCGTTAGCACATATCTCGTAATAAATTCCAAGGTTTAATTGTGGGGTTGTAAATGCAGGGATTTCCCCCATCCCCAGGTGCCACATTGCTCCTGCAGAAAAACAGTAGCAATATTTCATAAAAATCATACTGTTGAAAGACATTTTGGAGATCTTCTAGTCCCATGATGGCGGACCTGTGGCACGCGAAGCCATTTCTGAAGGCATGCAAGGTGTTGTCCTGTCAGCTCCAGCCCATGCTGGTCCACTGATTTTCGCCCTTGGTTTTCACCCATTTTTCGTCCTCCTGAGGCTTCAGGAAAGCCTCCTGAAGCCTCCAGAGGGCAAAAAAACACCTAATGCGCAAACCGGAAGTTCGTTCCTGAACTTCTGGTTTGCATGTTGGGCCATTTTTCACCTTCCCCAGGCTCCTAGAAAGCCTCTGGAGCCTGGGGAGGGCGAAAAACGGACCTGTCGGGCCCACTAGAAGTTGGAAAATGATCCGTTTCCGGCCTCTGGAGGGTCTCCGGGGTGGGGAGGCCGTTTTCACCTTTCCCCAGGCTCCAAGAAAGCCTCTGGAGCCTGGGGAGGGCGAAAAACGGACCTGTCGGGCCCACTAGAAGTTGGAAAATGATCCGTTTCCGGCCTCTGGAGGGTCTCCGGGGTGGGGAGGCCGTTTTCACCTTTCCCCAGGCTCCAAGAAAGCCATGTGTGGGGCAGCAAGGGGTTAGGGTTGCGCAGGGGTCATGGTGCAGGGAGGGGCATTAAATTATGGGAGTGGGCACACAAGTGCGTGCAATAGCATGCATGCGCATGCTTTTGGCACCCAAGGCGAAAAAGGTTTGCCATCACTGTTATAGTCCAACTCCCTGCTCAGGGCAAGAATTCAGAACATCTCAGACAAATGTTTAATCTTTACTTGA